TTTCGTCCTCTAAGTAAAAAGTTGAAACTCGTGCGTTCCAAAACTAAAACGATAAATTAATAAACATCTGTTTATCCTCCAGCCAAGATCAAAAAAATATCTATTCAGAATGTTTCATAAAATGAAGTAATGAAATTTGGTAAATAAGTCATCAAAAAAAGGTTATCTTCCATTTACGTACGTATTTCGACTACAATGTGCAGTCTTCATCAGTGTCATTCCCACTAAAGACTTATCAAAACCCCCTTAAGTACTCATCTCCTTGGTAAAAATGTAACTTGCTAACAAATCTGCCTTTTCATTACCTGCAACCCCACGGTGTCCAGATACCCAAAATAAGCTAACTGTACAATTTTTAGGCATCTGCTGTAGTCATTGAATCCATTCCCAAAACAGTTTAGAAGAACAAGTAGCTGACCTCAATGCTTTTAGGGCAGCATTACTTTCAGAGAAGATACATATATTTATACGTTTATAATAACGACGTAGACAAATCGTGGCACATTCAATAATTACCTGTATTTCAACTTAAAATACGGTTGGCCATTTACCCATAGATATTTATATGTTGACACCAGGATCCGTTACCCCAGCGTGATGTGAAACCATCATTGTAGAAAATTACTGATCCTGGTTGAATATTAGGTCCCACTGATTTGCATTCGGTGCGAATAGGTTCAGTGACGTTGAATAGCCTTTCAAAGATACAAAATACTGAGATAACACCTAAGGTCCCCATCAAAAACCTGTTTTATTCTTTTGCGTTTTTCTCAGCTTCTAACTGCACAAAAACATTTAAGGGAAGAAGATTTAAAATTGTATCTAGCGCTTTAGAGGGCGTGCTACTAATTGCTCCTGTGATGGAAGTTGTAGCAAGTCATTGCTACTTTTCGAGTTTTTTTTTTATCATATTTAACTTTTGTTTTTGGCCACCAAACTAATGATGCATATGTTATTCTGGGTCTTACTATAGCCTTATAGATCCAATCGATCATTTTAGGTTTCAGTCCCCATATATTACCAAATGTTTTTTTTTTTTGCTTATCCATAGGGCAAGTAGTAAGGCTACAATACTTATTATTTGATCGAAATGTAAGTTCCAATTGAGTTTGCTATCAAGAATTACTCCCAGATACTTAACCTATTTTTATTTTCCTTTTATGTGTAAATAGTATAATAAAGAGGAACAGCGTATCAAAATATTGCTCGCGCATTAGCGAAATCCAAATTATTCACACGCAGATTGATTGCGTCAGAAAATTAATTGCGTCATAATTAACCATCGTTATAAATATACGTCAAGGTGGTTTTCAAGCAGCTCCCAGGTCAAGAGTTTACACGGCTACCAGAAAAGGAAAGGGTCAACATAAATTTAACCAGAAAAAGTTGTCAAAGATCTCGAAAAAAAATAGTTGGTTTGGCAGACGATTAGCACCTGTGGGCTGAAATGCGAAATTTTCGTGACAACTAGCATTTTTTTTTCCTTGATTTGTTTTCCGTCGATCTTGTTTTACGTGCTGAGCACCAATGCTACCGACGCCAGGAAGCAGCTCCCGCACTGAAAATGTATTTTCGTTATTTCTCTGAAAACCGTTTCGTAAAAATGAATATCTTTCATAAATGGTACGAAACATTCGTTTTTCCTGTCATCTGGCGCAATGTCAATATTACACCTTATTCGTATAATATACAAATACATCTTCGTACAATCAAACCAACAACTGCACTTATTGTCTCCTAAAGTGCTGATTGTGTGTTGGTGATGGGACATTTTTTTTTAGAAATATTGTCGGTTTGACCAATACATGCGAGCTACAACAATAAATCAAATTACTCGTCGAGGTGGTTTTATGTTAGAGAAAAAAATACTTGCAAGCAGCAGAAAAAGCAAGCGAAATCGAATTACCGTTCCATGAGTTGCCTTTAGCTTTACCATTTCTCATAGCATAGATAGAGCGATGGATAAAGCACAAAGCTGACGATCGCAAGGTTCATGAGTCGAGTCCGGTCTGAAACTTATTTTTATTTTTTGTCATATTTATTCCTTCCAATGATGAAGTTATTTTTACCCATCCTCACTCACACACTCCACATTTTTCGGTTTCCACAACCAACACTTGTGGCCCGCTGGTTGGGTGTAGCGATAGCGAGTGTGGCAGTTCTAACGAAACTAGCTTCATACAATGTACAAATCTATTTCGTTGCAGGAAACAACGAATAAATTCGTAGAACAAACGAGCGATTTCGTTGTATAAACGAAATTTTATTTTCAGTGCGCACCTGGACCCTACCTATCGACCCAACAAACTCATGAACCGGGGGACCAACGGATTTATTTCCCCTTTCCGTGATCAGAAATGTTATGCCTCAAAACATCCCGGCGGTGCCGACTGGGATTGAACCCAGGCCTGCTGGGGTGAGAAGCAATCACGCTTACCACTACACCACCGGCACCGCTAGCAACAACTGGCATTGTCAATCAAGATATTTATGAAAAGTTTGCAAAAACGATTGTTGCCTTTTTTAAGAAACACATTTGTTCCGTTCTGTTTTGTCCAGACCTCGCTTTCTGTCACTACGGGAAAATGGCTCAGAAACGGTATACCGTCAACAACGTGCAAGTCGTACCCAAGGATAAAAACCCTCCAAACTCTCCGCAGCTGCAGCTAATTGAAAAATATTGTGCAATCATTAAGCGGAACCTCAAGAAAACTCAGAAAACAGTTGGAAATGAGAAATTGTTCAAAGCGAATTTACGTTCAGCATCAAACATGGTTGATACAACAGCGGTACAAAATCTTATCAAATAATTTTCCTGTGTTTTGTAGTGATTGAATTTCAAAAAGAAATAAAGTTTGATAATTTACACAAAAACATTATCAGTGTGCACTTAATCATGATTGACCAATTTTTGGCCGTTCCACTTTTTAGTAGTTTTATGAGGGTTTATTTACAACCCCTTATCTTCACATCACCGCATTGTTAAATTAAGAGCATATTGTAACCTATCTCTGATTACGTGTTCATATTTTCCGCGATTTAAGATTACTATGACATCGGCAAAACCAATTATTTAAAATCCTTGTAATAGTATTTCGTCGACTACCAGTGACCACAACAAAGGTGACAGAACCCCTTCTTGTGGGCAGCCAACATTTCCAACTTAATAAGCCATCTTTTCCAGCGTTGTGCTGTAAAGAAAAAAAAAGCTATAGCAAGCAGAAACTAGGAAAATAGTTTTCGAGAGCGGTTACTCAACTTTTTCACAACCATTACTCAACTTGTCAGTCGCACTGAATAACAGCACTAATGTCACTTCTATGCACATTTTAATCAACTTTCAACTTGTAGCTGCAAAACAAAGGTAATAAAGTAAATATACTACTCATGTGATGGTTTCTACACGACCAACTACTCTTGCTGTATAACATCAAAAGTGCTTTTTCAAAAACTAAACAACTTATACTCAGCTAATAAACAGTGCTAGTGTCACCTTGGAAGCATTGTTACAGTCAACTAGGTTTAGTTTTAGGCATGTGCAGTTTTACAGCTTTTACTCTGCTCTTTTATAAAGCGGAAGAACTAGTCGAGAAAAGTGTTTCATGTGCACTATTATAAAGCCTCAGCGATCTTGTTGTAGAAGGGCATTTAGATTTTTCAACTCTTGCTTGAGTAAAAATACAACTTGCTAAATCTTGCGTGTCCTTCCTGGTCATTGCAAATTTTGCATACTTTTCATGCAAATCTTCAATAAAATCTTACATATCCCGGGTTGGTGTACTCACCAAAACGTTTTGAGCTACTCAGATCATAAAATCTTGATCGATTATCATAGAAAATTTAACGCAATTCCCAAATCTGCAATAATATTGGGGGATTACTTTTAGTTTTGCTCAGTTACAGTACAAAAACTGTAAAAAAAAACCGGCAAAACTATTGTAACGTCCCTTAGAATGTGTCAATCGATTCTGTTTTCACGTGATTTTCATTTCATCAATGTTTCCGTCATTCATGATGGGTACATTTTTTTTTTATTTTTTTTATTATTGAGATTTGTTAATTAATTTTGGGTGCAATTTGAGATCACACGATCAAACATAAGGGCCATAGAAAACCGAAATAGAGTGTAGAACAAACACACACAGACTTAACACAAGAGAAACGTCTATGGTTCCAATAAAAGCTAAATTTCTTAATGCATTAGAAAAATACTGCTAACTGCATCATAATTCGTTCCGAGAAATTTCCATTTTCCATTCCGCACTGTACGCTAAGTGTTTATGTTTAAAATTCCAAACTTGAACTCCGTGTAGGTATACATATAGTGCTTTCATCTCCAGCGGGAGGCTCGGGCGAGGTGGTCTGGTAATGCGAAGCTGGCGGCGGGCGCAAAAGCAGTAGAAAATAACAACTATGCTGCTGCTAGGTAAAACGGCAAATTGCACGCGAAATGCATTTCACTTTTTTGTGCTCTATCACATGATTTCTCTCTCCACACACTTCTATCGCTGTTGATGCACTTCCACTGGCCGTTGGCTGATGGTTCCCTTCCTTCTTGCGTACAGGCTTTTTTATCGCTCGAAAACTTGAAATTGCATCCGTGCTGCATGCTTCAAGCTTTATAGGCTAGGTCTAGCTAGCAAAAATATCATCTTTCAACACGGTTGTCTGCAACAGCTGCCGCCGGGGTGAATGTTTTCACTTTAATTCATTTGTTTTCACTGTATACTGAAAATGCACAAATGCCTACACGGCACGGGATTTAATTGTTTCCATAATTTGAAACCACTGGAAGTTGTAATAAAACACCACTTTCTGCAGGGTACTCAATTTCACTAGTACTACTCGCTGCTATCATCCGAAAAAAGTAAATCCCAATTTTATTCTCTCATAAAATTTGCGCTGCCAAATTCTTCTCCTTTCATTATCAACAACAAAACAATGCCCACAGATGCACTAGTCGAGCTACGCAAGCCATAACCAGAAGCACATTCACGTACCTTGGTACCAATTACGTAAACCTACAACGACAAGTACTCCTACAAAAGAACTGCCACTCGCAATATAAAAAAATAAACACCGTCAAAACTTGGTACAACTGAACAACGCGCGCATCGACCAAAACGATCTGGAGCTGTGTGGCTTTGCCAACAGACGCGGAAAGACTGCGACCATACTCCAAGGAGGCTCCAACGAGAAACCACTCAAGTGCAAGCAACATGAAAAAGCAACGCGCGTTCGAACCACATGAAGCAGCGCGTCTCCTCTTATTATAATAACACTAGCAACATTTGCTCTCAACCTCAACCCAATCGGCTCAGTGATGAGCAACATCGCATCAACTCTCATTTTTTTTTTTTGCATTTTATTCACGATCTGACACCGGTCCATGTTTACCTGTAGTACGAATCATCACGATAGCGTTCCTGTGCTAACCCTTGTTTTCCCAGAAGAATTTAATTGTTCTACAAAAAAATAGTCTTCTCCTAACAGACCTTGAACCTGGCTGCTGTACTGCTACGTAAGATATTAAAACAAACGACGACAGTCGATCTTTAATCAGCAATCAGAGTGATGAAATTGAGGGATGGCAATTTTTCAATTTAAAGCTACTACGTAATCCCTTTTAATGACCGATAGTTACGTCAAATGCAAATATTACACGCTCTAGCAGAATGACAATCAGCGATCGCGAAAAGGTTCTACTTCTCTTCTAGCTCGGTTGCGTGGAAAATGTGACCCATTCACCTGGTACGTGAATGCTGCACATATATCGACCATTACAGGTTTTAATTATAATACCTTACCTTACCAATCATACTAATGCATTGTTGTCGTCTGCTGTCCTCGTAGTCTGCTAAGGGTCCGAAGGTCGCCTTCTACTTGGTCGATCCACCTTGCCCGCTGCACGCCTCTTCTTCTTGTTCCTGTTGGGTCACTGTCGAGAACCATTTTCACTGGGTCGCTGTGTGGCATTCTTACGTAGTCGCCCATTTTTTGCAATGTGGACGATGGATGGTTCTCCCAGCAGCTGGTGCAATTCGTGGTTCATTTGCCTCCTCCACGTTCCGACATCCATCTGCACTCCGCCGTAGATGGTACGGAACACCTTGCGTTCGAAAACACCAAGGGCGGTCCTCCATGAGCAAAGTCCAGGTCTCGTGGCCTTAGACGACCACCGGTCTAATCAGCCTCTTGTAGACAGTCAACTTCGTGTGGCGGCGAATTTTATTCGACCGGAGCGTCCTCCCGAGTCCAAAGTAGGCACGATTCCCTGCCATTATGCGTCTTTGAATTTCTCTGCTGGTATCATTTTCGGCGGTCACCAGTGAGTCCAAATACACGAACTCATCGACCACCTCGATTTCGTCACCGTCAATCTGAACTCAGTATGATGCACGTTTCCGCCATCGCCTCAAAATTCCGTGCCATGATGTCGATGTCATCGGCGAAATCAAGAAGCTGATATAATTATAATGGTATTCAATAAATAAATTTCCTGAAGTTTGCGTAGATCCAGTGATTCGGAAAACAAAAATGGTTCCCATGATTTACATTAAATTTGTTATTTAAGGAATTTTGAAATTTTATCACAATCTTTTCCTTGCAATAAATTGTGGATATCACAATAAATAATATAAAGAACACATAGCAAAAAATAAATTTTGATATCACATCAAAGTGGATGCACTTGAATCGTATCAAAAATATTGCCATAAAGGACAAAATTATCATTAATACAGTGCATGAACTGACATTACACTGCTTTAACAAAATTTGTTTATTTGTGTGGCCATAAAAATTACATGAGATTTTCGACATGATTGAAGTGCATCCTCTTGGATGTAATAATAAAATTTATTTTTTGCTGTGCAAGAATAATACATGCTTTTGTCGGTAAAATAGATTTTTATTCAAATTTTTATCTTTTTGGTGATTTTTTCAAAATTCTAGATTTTTGTTTCGATAACTACTTTTTATGTTTGAAAGCCATAAGGTATTCAGCAATGGTGATCCTATAATTGCGATATAAGGAATGCCAGAATTATGTTGAGAACAAATAGGGTAATAATATGTTTAATCGGTTTCTCTCCTAAAATAATGTTGATTTACACAAATTTGAAACTTCAAATTAGTTTTCCGTAAGGTTTTGACTCCATCGCACCTAATGCCTTGTTCAGTTTACAGTTATAACATGTTCTAGCGATATTTTGATGGTGGTTTCTGTGTTGCAAATATTTGACAACCATTATACAAAAATTGTATGAAGCCCATTTATTTATTTTACAGTAAATAAAATGTATTAGTTCCTCGATTACTGGCTCAGCCATCAGGAATGTAAGTCGTCATGATATGTTTTGGCGATGAATCACAGACAAATATAAATACAGCATACACACTAATCCAGGCCTCCACCGTTCGGTAAATTTTGAACTACAGAACTGTTCGGTAAAAGTTCAAAAATCGGTGAAAAATCCAATCATGTTATCAAAGTAGTCATTGAATTGCTGTCTTGAACACTTCAATCACCCAACTAACATTTTCAGCTCTATAAGCCAACCTTTCCAGCGTTGTGCTGTAAATTAGCTGAAACAAAGCAGCAGATACAGCTACAAGCAGAAGCTAGCAAAATAGTTTAGGAGAGCATTTACTCAACTTTTGCACAACCATTATTCAATTTGTCAGTCACACTGAATAACATCACCCAATGAACGCTAATGTAACTTCTATACAAAGATTAAACAACTTTCAACTTTTAGCTTCAAAACAAAGCTAATAAAGCGAATGTATTACTGATTTGATGGCTTCTACATAACCAACCTCTCTTGCTGAATAACATAAACATCAAAAGTGTTTTTTCAATAACTAAACAACCTGTACTCAACTAATAAACTATGTTAGCGCTACTTTGGAAGTCAACTAGGTTTATTTTTAGACTTGTCAGTTTTACAGCTTTTACTCTGCTCCTTTACAAAGCTGAAGTAATTAGTCGAGAAAAGTGATTCATGTGCACTATTAGGTATAAAGTCTCTACTCAGCGATCTTGTTGCAGAAGGGCATGTAAATTTCTTTACGTCATTTAAAAGTGTTGGCGTAGCGAAGTTGGTAGTATCAAGGTTCGCCAATGCGGTTGTCTCAAGTTCGATTCCAGGTTTCCGGTACACTCAGGTCTTTTTTTACACGGGGGATACGTACCGTGCAAAAAAAAACCGTGTAAAAAAAACCAACGAGATTTTGATTTTTCACATGCTTAAATGTTTTTAAAAAATCGGATTTCGATGCCATTTGTAATTATAGCATGCTATGGTCCATATAGACATATTTTAAAAATTTCTATATTTACACCAAAATTTTTTTTTCTAAGTATGCCATTCGATTACCTATAGCTTGAAACGGATAATGTGATTGAAATCAAGTCGATAGGTTGTATCGTTGTCGAGAAATCGGTAAAAACGTACCGTGTAAATCGCGAAAAACCGTGTAAAAATAACCGTGTAAAAAAAAACCGCGTAAAAAAAAACCGTGTAAAAAAAGACTTCAGTGTACAGTGTAAATAATTTGGTGGTGGTGTGCTTATAACTAATATCGATTAATTTCATTCGCCGTTAAATAAACATGATACATTTCTCCAACAACAAAAAAAAGCGTAAACAATATTTAACCTGGCGTCAAGAGAAAGTTGTGTAGTGATTATTGAATAATCGGGTAAAGGTTGAGTAAGAACCTTTCAAGTTCACACACAACTCAAAAGCAGGATAGCAGCTGTATAGAAGCGTATATAGATATGCAATAAGAGCTTGTCCCAACCGTCACAACAGCCATAAGTAGCTGACTAAGTTCGCCAGATTTGTTTATATTAGAGGTTGAGTAAAGGTTTACTCATATGGTAGAACATTCGAATACACCATGAGGCTGTTTAAATGAAATGAGTAAAGCGTTTACATTGCGAAAATTGTTAGTTGGGCATGCCAGCCCTACTTTTGCTCAATAAAACAGATGAAATTATCCTTCATAAGTAAAAAAAAATCTCCTTAAAATAGATCGAGTTGCTCCTTAAATGATTGATCAAAACACGTTAAAAATCTTAAAATGCTCAGTAAATATTTAAAGTACGCTCCCTAACATAGAGAAAACTGTACATTAAGCATTTGAAAATGCTCCTATGCACCGCTTTGCACCATTTTGAAGTGTAATTGTACCATATATCATCGGATAAGCTGCTGTAGAAAGGTTAATATGTACCATGAAATCAGCTGAAATGTTCAGTAAAAATGCACAAATGCACACAATGATTTATAAATAACATGAATTTAAGACTTTATCATTTTTCAAAATTCCACTATTGAAAATTGCACGAATGTGCAACTGTTGCTATGATAATTAAAATTATCACCCATTGCCTGCAAAAAGCAATTTCCCTAACACAGATTTCAAAGATAAATTCCAACCGGTCTCACTCAACGGTGTTTATTCAATCACCGTGTGGTGAGTGGTGGTTTTCTCCAGTACACAACGAAAGGCTCCCCGCAATCAGTTAGCTATCAAGGCTGGCCTCAACCGCTGATCGGATTCAGTTCGAATCACCGTGTGTGGTGGTGTCCGGTCGTTGGCATCAGCAGCAGTGCTGTTGTTCTTGTACTTTTTGGACATTTTTCAAGGTCATCAATCGTATGTCAGTTCCCATATCAAGATAGAGCTGGAATTAGGGCGCAACAGCTTTTGTGAACAATGGCTTCTTTCGATGATGTCTTGAAAGTCAAGGCCACGCAAATCAACATCACCATCAGGTAGGGTAAGACTTCCCCTACCCGACGATAATATTGGTTTGCGTGGACGTGCCTTGAATTCCCAAAAGTCATCGAGAGAAGTAATTGTTTATCTAGATATGATTAAATCTAACATACCATGTTCTTGAAAGCAACATTGGGGGGTGCAATTTCAAAAACCAAAGTCGGTCGCGGCATGAAAGTGACCTGATTTTGATCCAGAGATCCAGATTTTAATTCTTAATACGCCAATCGATAGGCATTTTTAGGTAGGTTAAAATTAAGACTTTACCATTTTTCAAAATGTCACCATTTAAAATTGCACCGATTTCCTGCGAAAAGCGATTTTTCTAACACAGATTTCAAAGTTGAATTCCATCCGGTCTCACCAAACGGTGTTTATTCAATCAACGCGTGGTGAG